CGACGACGCGACGATGAAGAGAACATCAGCGGTCGAGCGAGTGAACCTTTCCTCCCTGTCTCAAGCTTAAAAAATCGCTGATGATCGCTGAGTGTGGGGGAGTGAGCTCGATGTACGGTTTTCCGAAGTCGTTCAATTTGAACACAGGTGCCCGCTTCTTAATCCATTCGTATGTTGACGCTAGACCGGCGACCGCATCGACTCTCCCTGCATCAAATACCGCTTCCACTGTTTAGCAAGCTTCCCGATACGCGAGGCGGATAGAACATGCCGCAGCGTTCCGCACTTTATGAAGGACACCCTGTTGTCTGTCAGTGCGCTCGTCCATCGGTCGGTCGGTCCTCTCTGTTTATCCGACCGTTTCCTCTCGAACGATGTCAGAAGGCTGCCAGGAAGAGCCTCATTCAAGTAAATTCGTCTCGGGTCGACGGCATCGGCTCTCGGATTTTCCTCTCGTTGTCATCTGTTCAAACTGCGCTGCGTGGCTTACTCAGTTCGAGTACCGTCTCAGTCAGGCAAGCATCAGCTCTCCGAATCTGTGATGAGCGCGTTGCAAGATGCGACAGTCAACGCATTCTCGCCTCACAAACTCAGTCAGCCGCGGCTTTGAATGTCTTCCAGGCATTTGAGCATGCACACACGAACAGATACGCCAGGTGAAGCGATGCCGATCGATGTTGTCGACTACTCAACTTGATTGAGCTCCCGCGCCTGTTTATCCCACCTGAGACCCGAGCGCCTTCCTGGATAGTCGAAGGTCGAGCAAACACGTTTGGCGAAATGAATTGTCTTTGCCGTTATCGAGCGAACAATCAGACGTTTGCAGTTCAAAAATCGGATAGAAATAATGATTATTATTATTATTCGATCCACGCGTGGTGAGGCGTAAATTATCATCGATTGAGCCGTTCATCATTCGATCTGGCCCGCTGAGAAGACCTCCCGCAACGAGAAATAGATCGGGAACCCTCTTAGAGCTTGGAAGCAGTCTCGAGTCTGAAACCTGGCTTCGAACATCGAATCGAACAAATCAACACCGGGCTCTGGCGAACAGCCGCACCGTGGCAGCGACGGCTGCCGCTTGTATGTACTAGGTAATATCTGTTTCTAGGTATCACGTGACTGCTCGTCGAGGTATTGCGCGATTGGGCTAGATCGCACGATCCGGATGAGTCGTCTCGTCGTTCCAGCTTTCGTGGGATGACTCTGACTTTTGACTTGCACGTCGCAGTGAAATTCACAGCTCGTACTTTCTTCCCAATCAAGGAGTCGGGTAAGAAGTCGGAGAAAACGAAGGCGGCGGCGGCGACAACAACGACGATGATTCGAGTCTCGAGTCTCGAGTCAATAATTTGCAAACTTCCAAGTCTTCCCGCGCCGAGTCGTATTCGTTATCGCGCTGGTCCAGTGAACGAACGGCACGGCTCGGACATCGCTTCGGACGTGCTCGATAAGTCTGTCCGGCCTAGGAACGAATGGGTCCGCCCTCGGACATAAGATAACTCTCCGAGCGACATCCAAGAAGAGATGATCGGCGCTCGTTTTTTCAAATCGCGCATCGGACTCGACTTCACATCGCGACGCGCCGGATTCTCCGAATGAAGATCGGTTCTGTTTACGGAAGCGCCTATTATGGGCCACTCTGCGGTGTGTTCTGACAACCGACTGGGCTCATCAATTTCAGAGATAAATTCAGCCGAGGAAATTCAACGAGAGCAAGATGCAAAGGAAATTTAGACTAGGCTCATACTCATCTAGAAATTCACCGAGTTGCGAAAGAGAAAAAAATAAATTAGGCAAACGTTGCCGCAATAGCGCTACGCCTGCTCGCCTATTCGAACGTCTGTCTCCCAGGCATCGAATGTCAACTTGCTTTGGAATGCGTCTGGCGTGGCGTCAATAGATTTGGTAAAGATGACGCTTCCAACGCTCAGCTCAAGTCATTCGATCTGTCGCTTCACGTTCCGACTGGCGCGGTGGTATTCGTCACGCTGTTGCTGCTCTTCGACGTCACACACAGTCCCCCCCCCTACTAGTAATATTGATATGCCGATACTTTCCGACCGGATTTCAATGGTAGTCTGGAGGGTGGCCGGGCGGGTCTGAACGATCGGCACTCACGACCACCGGCGGATTTTCTCCGAGGTGGACCGCGTACCAAGGAGTATACAATTTTCCTCGAAACTTTCCCGTTCATCGGATGTGATTCCGAGCTCGTCGGAGCCAACGACTCCCATATCAGAGGTCTATTTTGCGGAGTTTCAAAGTGATTGAGCGGAGCATGGGGGAACATTTTCTCCATCTAGAATTCTACCCCACCGCTCGATAAAAGATTTAGGAACTCTCGGATCCATCAGTCCAGGTTTCGCGGAAGACCAAGTTGTTCTTCTCACTTGAGGCGAATCGAGCTTATCAACTATAGATGAGACGACTCATCAAGAGTCGAGTTCAGCTCCGGAGGTCACCGTTGTCAGAAATGCCGCGGTCGCGATCGAATCTTCACAGTGAGATCTGAATTCCATCATAATGACGGAATCATCCGATATCCTTACACACGATACACTGCTGCATGGGAACGCGAAACTCTGCGATTCCGGCGTGTCTTCCTCCGAAACGTGTACTGTCATGCTTGTAACGTTGATGAGAAACTCCGCTTTCTGCGACATTTGACGATTGTCAAGGCCTCCATTGCACAACACTCGGCTGATGTTTTCCCCCGATGAGGACACAAATGTAATTTCAAGAATCTACACTCAGGAACAGTTGAGAAAAGTATGGCTAGGAGTCTACCGCGTTCCCTAGATGATAACGACTACGCGCTATACTATGCCGAACTGAAGACCAACAACATTCACCAATCGTCGTATCTTAGCGGATTCGTCGAGGAAGCCGCAGTGAGAGTCCGAAAGGACTCCCTACTTCGGCAGCTCAAGGACTACAATGGGTAGATAGGTGCGGCTTTCGACTCCAGATTCGTGAAGCAGAAAAACTCCCGAAACTCGATTGCTGGCGCAGTTTTTGATGGTTATGCCGAGCGAAGTATCGATGCCTTCGAACCACGGAAATGCCTTCTCTCGAAGAATGATTGAATATCGCAGCCCCGTCGGGCAATCAGTGGGCTCTAAACAAGCCTTCATGAAAACTAACCCCAATTCCATCAAACAGTGGCCGATAGAGGGAGAGGTCTATTTGCCATCATTTGACACCTTGGCAAGCCGACCGCTCGCCGGAAAAAATCTTCGTTAAACGTTTCCACGTGATTCCACGGTCATTTCTATAACATTATTAGCTTCTTGCTTTTTCTTTTTGAAAAACAAATGTGGCGAATCGGCATGCCGTATAACAACGTGAAGATGCTCAAGTTCGCGAAAATTGCCCGGGCCGCCGGTTGCTCGAATGCGATAATTCATTTTGGACTGTTACGATCGTTCGCGGGGTGAAATCGCGGCTTCCTTTCCCTTCGGAAGGACGACGACACGGCCGCCACCTTGACGACGCCCAGGTTTCGTCAAAACGCCCGAGGCCCAACGGGGTAAGCCATTGGCGAAAGTGCCGCGAGCGGCTCGAACCGCGAGCCGCCGCAAAAAGTTTAGATCATCGACGTTCAGTCCGCTCGATCGTCAAGATATTTCCAATGTCTGTGTGAGGGCTATGAACAACGGGGCTCGGTTTTATTGCTAACGTTGGACAAACGGTCACGAACAACGTCAGGAGAGCGGATCAGAGCGAGAAGGAAGATTCGGCTTTGTGATCCCGATCGAAAAATTCAGTTGTCCCAAGATGAAAATCCTCATCGGTCGGGACAATAAACTCTCCTTCGGTGAAAAAGAAAAGAGTTTTTCCAATGATACAGAACGAGTCGAGAGCCACGCGCGCCGTCAGCGGGAAAACGGAGTCTCACCAGAAGGACTTACTTGTTCTCGATGCGTTCGATGGCCGAGATACAGACCGTTTGGGACGGCATCGAGATGGATGTCCGAAAACAAAATGTTTGGCGATCCGACTGACATTCGCTTCCGCACTGACACTTATGTAAATACAGAAACGTGAGACGTCCGATTCCGACCCATAAAGATAAAGTTGAGCTTTTGACGACCGGCTGCTGTCAATAGAGATTGCGGCGATTCTGCTCGCCGGATTGCATTGTACATAGTCGCCAGAAGGGCTCACCTACTCCCGGACGAGTCGTCTACTACAGCCAGGCGCCCTCGGACGCGTTTGCCGGCCAAGAAGCTATAGAATGAGAAGATGCAGCCTGGCAAGAGCCAATTTCATCGAACGAGCGGCTAGAGCTGAGGAGCAGGTGCCAAGGTAGCACGCAAGGAAGCAACTAAACAAACCGACTGGCTGGCTGGCTGGCTGACTGACTCGCATTTCCTCTTTCATATACAGTTGTTTCAAGTAGGACTTAGTATCTGAACGCTGGAATCGTTTGAGAGGCTGCGGTGAAAATCGAATGACGTGAAACGTCTTGTTTCTTGCTTTTCTGCGTGAAGAGCGCCGCCGACGCTAACCGTCAGCCTGAACGACCGACCGACTGTTTAGAGTGGCTTGCCTGGCCTGGTCCGACTGAGTGGCAGACATGCAAACAAAAGACTTCCGCGCGTATCTTGAATAGAGACAGCAGCCAGTCCGTCCGTCTGTCCGTCCGTCCGTCGGTCGGTCGCTCAACTTGACCATTCACGCACTCTCAAGCCGGCCGGCCTCAATCAGCTGAGCTATTCCTACTTTCGTACTTCGGCTGTCTAGGTTCCCATTCGACGAGTAGGCATGTCCATTCGTCCGGACGCCAATACAGTGTGTAGGTCCGACCGCTGGAACAGATTCGGACACCGGAGATCTATTCTGAGACACATCCGAAAGGCGACAGAAGCTGCCGAAGGGGCAAACACTGGATAGACAAGCGCAGGAAGACTTCCACTCCGTTCGACGCTTGTCGTACGCCGCAGAACTCGTACATCCATGGTCTCGTAGGTTCCCATCCTTGACAAGGTACTCACCTCTCTCAGCGCTGCCCATTACGTCCTTCTTCTGAAGGGCTTTGCATTCCTTCTTCATGAAGAGATGCTTTGTTCCGGTGCAGCCCATAGTGTTGCTGCTCGTCGATTATCGGCGTGGTGTTCTTTTTTTCCTAGTCGAGGATTCTAGGGCCACAACTCCTGAATTCTCATGGTTCGATCCTCCACTCCGCGGAATCTGAACAGTAAATCCTAGTCATGACGAACTTCGGTCTGGAGAGGCAGCATACACTCGTGCAGAATTTATCACTGGCTCACGCTCCGCTTCACTAGTTCGGTGTCGGTGTCTGGCGGATAACGCGCTCTTGACACTTGTCAGCTCTCGTTCGGTGGGAATCAATGTGTCGGACGAGCTTCGCTTGTTCGGTCGCTTGTCGTCGAGTTGATTGACTCCTGAACCGCGTTCTGGATCCCACGCAACCTCAGGAGCGCGGAAATCAGGGAATCAAGCGGTCCCTTCGGAGCGAAAATCGCCGAGGGCCTTGAGTGACAACTCAGGGTCAACTCTCATCAGCTTGGACTCGAACAAGGCCCACAAGTCCCACCGGAGAGAAAACTCAGGGAACACTTGGCACTCTGATGACGGCGCGCTGCAGTCATGGTTCCGAAATATCCATCGCTTCCCGAACTTCGCGCGCACCCAAGCAGGCGTTCAGTTGTTGACAGAAGTCACATGGCTTTGCTGATTCCCAGACCGGCCTGCGCGCTCGGGTCGCGCCACGATCAGTTGTGTCTCTTTCTCCACGCCTTTCCCAACGACTTGCGAGGCGAGCTACGTTCGCTAGTTGGCTCACCATCCAGTGAGCAAGCAGAGTTCCCTTTCCTCTTTTTGGGAAAGAGAATCAGTCTGGACTCGTTGCCTGTTGTACTTTCCCACTTGGTCGTGCTAACACCCCGTTTGTTTCCCGAAGGGACACGTTCATTTGACAGACTTCAAGCATTCGGGCGACCTGCGGTCGTGAATGGAGTGGATCTCGTGCTGTCTGCTGAGCCCTGAGGCTGGCTACGTCACGAGAGCCGCCGACGGGCCGCGTGGACTGTAGTGAGGGCTTCGGGAGAATTTGCTTCCAAGTCGGCGCGGCGGACCTCACTTTTTTTTATTCTGCTCAGTTCGCTCGAATTCACAGACATTCTCCCGCTTTAGTTCGAGCCTCTGTGCTATGCGGTACGCATCTATTAATCAACAGTCACTAACCACTCTCAAACAGCGCAATGTGATCCACGATGACCGATCTACCGGTAGCTCATCATAGACCAGCGGATCGTAAGCGGTGAGGGCGATCTCGATATGAAACGATCGAAGGATAATCGAGCCCACAGTTATGGAATTGCATGACTGAAGATTTCGATGGGGGTTCGGAAAGAGCACGAATCGAAAATTAATATAAGAATTCACTCATGCCGAATGAAATTAGTTTGCATACGACTCGCTGATCAATCATGTCTGCGGAAACTTGTAAAGACCGCGCTCGACTGTGCATCTCAGTCAGCGGAACGGAGCGCGGGCCCGGGTTCCTTATGACCTTTCTAGCGAGCTGAGGCAGCGGGGCCCTGGATATCTATTCTCAGCGTGAAGCTACGAACATCGAATCATACGACCGACGACGTTGGCAATACTTCCAGCAGCTTACATGCTTCGATTGTGTCACCCAGCGCCTTTTTCTACTGAATGTCACTTCTCTTTGTGTGTCTCGATATTCTCATGAGGCAACAATGTATGGATAGGATGGCTCTTTAAATAGGGTATCCCGTTTTCTCCGCGACCGATTCCGCGCTGCCGAGCTTCATCCATCTCTCGATATTCCCACCGAATACCATGCAGAAGCGCCAGCTGCTCCTTCCGCCATGCCCGCTAATTCGATCCTCTTTCGCGAATATTCCGCGTCGCATTCTCGAGAGACTTCCTCTGCCTACGTCCTAACGAAGAAACTGAACGAAGATGAGATTACCCGCTATCTGAATGAATTCAGGTCCTTGGCCGAGATATCGAAGTCGGGCCCCGTCGGACTGTGTTCACAAATTGCACAAGATACCGTGATTCTCCGAACGAAGCTCGAGAATCAAGCTCTGAGGACCTGGGTCTTTCACCGTTCTCCACGCGGGCGATGCTTCCCACGGAGAGGCTTCGTCTTACACGCTGACTTAGACATCATCTCGAGAAGCAGCTCCGGGTAGTATCTTCGCTGTTCGTGGTCCCGCTTCCGTGTGAACCTTGGGCCAGCAACTCCGCTTGTCCGAGCAGCATCACCTTATCTAGGAGAATCACGAGCGATTCGCGCGTGCGTGTAGCGCTCCGTGTGCGGAATTATTTTCACTTCGTGGAAGGCCGCCTCCTGCTCGGCGGCTTCCTGAGGGGACGTCGCTAGAGCGAGAGGTGATTCTCGCGATACGGGCCTTGTACCGTGCGTCCATGGAGCCTGGGGCGAACTCTCTTGATGCCGTGGCCTAGGCCGCGGATGAATGTCCTCCTCGAAATTTTTCCTACTTCTTCCAAACTCATCGCTACGCAATGGGCATGCCGGAGAATGTCGGGATCCTCCACGGAGACCTAATTCTGAGGCATGGTCGTCATGCCCCCTCCGATGCTCGAGTTGGCCCCTCAAAGAAGAAAGCCCGTGCGCGTCTGCAGAGCCAGGGCTTGCGTCAGGATTTTCGTTGCTTGCGGAAAGGAGTCGCGCTCGGAATTCGTGCACATGAGAGCGGCTGTCCAATCCAAGGAGAAAGCCATGTCTGACGGAGCGAACTCGATTGCCCGGAGCCTCGATGCGAGCTAAGATACAATGGCGGAGTGCGACCGGTCGGGACCTGATCATGGAGGACCTCACCGAATTGCGTCTTCCATGAACAAAAATCGAGCGATTTCATTCGTAAGATCAGAAAATCAGGATTGTAGGGAACTTTCACTCACCCCATAAGTCTCGCGTGTCGATGAAGCTTGTTCGTCGAAATGTCAATCATGACGTCAAATTTTATGTTTTCCACCCGACGCAGACTCGAGCCTCGAAAGATCTTCCCGCGTATGAGCGTCGCCTCCATTAATCTGACTGAGTGAGCGGGGCCCGTGACTCTGTAGCATTCGCAAGAGATTGCCCCGCACGAGGATTTCTCAGAATGATATCGCTGCATTTACTCCCGCCATGAAGAATGTGCGACTCCTGCACAGGGAAGCTTCTGAGGGATCTGTCGGCGGCTGGCACTGCCCAGCCGTTGTTCTACCACGGGGCTGAGTCGCCAGAGAGGACCTCTATTCGATTTGGGACAAGCGAGAGGAGCACTTCTCGCAAGGGAAGGAAGTTTGTCGTACGAAAGCGCCGGCAGCGGGCTGTTCGAGAGACTCGGTGAACGTTTTTTCATATAGGAATGGCAGCCTCGGTGCGCCAAGCATCGAATTCCCGTGAGCAGCTTCATCTCGAAATCGAGACAGGACCGCAGACCGACGAATTCTCATTCAATAACGAGAAAAGCGGGGAGAGCGGAACTCTCGAATTCCAACTTGTGATTCCGTATGCTCGTCACGCTGAAGGATCACCTAGGATCGAACGGCTTCTCCCCGGATCCGTTCCAGCCGTCCCCCTCTCCCCCCGAGAGTATTTTCTGGCGAGGAAACTTGTCATCTCCGGAATGATCGGGAGAGCCGCGAGCCATCGGCTTTGACCCTTCCGACGCCAGCGGAAAAAGCTGGTGCAGAATTGAACGCACCGACGACGGGACAAAAAGAGGTAGCAATAAAGTAGTGATGGAGCGTGATGAAAACTGCACTCGAGGACAAGGTCTCTTGATGTTATTGTAATGCCGTTCTTATTAAATAAAGCAAGACAAGATTGACCTACAATATTGAGCTGCCGCCGCTCAAACAATCCGCCCGCCGTATTCCAATACGGGCCGGATGGGCGGTGTTTGATCAAGCGACGGATAAACGGACGGGAAGACAAACCGACTCCGGCTCGTCCACTCAGAAATATTCCAGGCTTCCTGCTAAGGTGCGGCAGAGCAAACAGAGGACTCTCTAGATATAAGCCGTTCTCTTCGCCAGGGACGCCTCCCCCTTGCTCCTAACAATCTTGCTCCGAATTTCCCGAACACACAAATCCCATCCCGGCTGCCGTCGCGTCGCGGTTACCAGCGGCGTTCCTGAGCCTCTTCGGAGCTACAGCTTATGAAAAGTATGATATGATAGAGCTGATGATGCACTCCGCTATAGATCCGCAATTATGCGAGAATTTCGATTGCGTTCCCGCTTAGCGAGGTCGGACGATGCTAGTTGCTGGGCTTCGTAAAAGTCGGGACGATCGAACGATCTTCAGGTCGGGTGAGGCTCATAGACGAGACAGAAAACCTCGCAAAAAACCTTGAAAATGTCCTTCCTTCATCGGAATATGATACTGTGGAACCTCGGCTCAGGGCATTCCGCTAAGCGAGAAGCTCGACATCCGGAGCCGTTTTTCTGCGAGTCGACGGTACAGTCCCGCTGTTGCCTGCCGATTCTAAAGCCCTTCAATTTGACGGGACGTATCATAAAATGGAATCGAAGGTTCGAATCCCGCCCCATGAGGGGGAAACTCCCGGTGAGGAGACGGAATTTGTACGTTAACCGCAATGAAATTTATTATCCGGGCAAAAATTTTCGGAGGAAAAAGTCGTCATCCGAAATGTTCATTAATTGAGGTTTCACTTTGGATGGGAGAAATTCCATTGGATGGGAGGGAGGACCTATCGATAGCGGGATTTCGCACGACGAAATTCGCCATGTTCCGCGACGCACAAACTCTTCCTCACCGCATCGGGAAGTGAGCTCGGGGACGGATCCGAGAAAGAATCCCGGACCACGACCCTAAAACAACAATCGATTTTCCGAAACAGAACGAGGGAACAGAAATATTCAACAAGAGGAACACTACAGCGGAACAATTTTCCGGATGCTCCTCCGGAACACGATCTGCCAATGAGGTTCTGCTGGATTACAACAATGGACTCGCGACCTTCCAGACCCGAGTGGAAATATGCCCTCGTTGCGAGTTCATGGTGTTTTGATGCCCGGAGCGATCGCTCGATCGTGTAGCGCGCTCGATG